CCGGGCCAGTGCGGAGCGATGGTCCCGCGAGGTGCCAAGCAGGGAGATGCCTTGGAGGCAGGACATGGGGCACCGCTGCCACCCACCCCCAGTTCTGGGGGGCACGGGTGCCTCCCTGCTCAGCACCCTGCGGCTGCCTGAACCCAGAGGAGCTCAGCCCTGCGGTGATGGCCTGGGACGTCCCGGGAAGGGTCAGCGCCCCGAGCAAGGGCAGGGCAGGGGTCCTGGAAGAGGCTCGAGGAGAAGGGTGTTGGAGCCGAGGGGTTTTGCCTTCAGCCGGGAGCAGACTCTGCTTCGCACGGGGAGCTCCTGCGTCCCCTCTCCGGGCAGCCCAGCAACGGGGGGGCTGCCTGGGGGGGGGCCGCTCCGACTGCCGGGTAGGAAACTGCGGTAATTAAACCTCATTTACAGTGCTCAAGCACAAAGTAGAAGAGCAAACAGTGGTGGCTGTTTGCATTTATTCATCTGCAAACTATGCAATTAGGAGCGCAGAACCGGGGAAGAAGAGCGCAATTGTGCCTCCGACCCCGCTGCGCTCCCCGCGCTGGCGCCTGCAGCCAGCGGGACCCCATCCAGGCCCAACCCCGGCACAGGGACGCACGCTGGGCACGGGGCAAGCGCCAGGCACGGAGGGGGAAGAAAGAAACAACAGTCAGAACTACTCACAGAGGCAAAATTTAATGGCAAGTCATCTTCCCTCCTTTATTACACCTTGGTTAGCCAAACGGAAAAAAAAAAAATTCTGCAGGTAAAAAAAGTTTTAATGGTCACACAGCACTTTATACATATATCGTAAGCAACCAAGCATCCACATCTGCACGTGAACGACACACCTCTAAGCATGGCCTCAATAGTCAGGTCTTTTTTTTTTTTTTTTTTTTTTTTAAATACTGTACAGAATCAAGGCTACAAACTGATTTTGTAATGCTTCTTCCCCAACCCCAGCACTTAAAACAGTTACAGGCTGCTCTCATTTGTACATCGCACAGTCATGTAGCCAGTTTTAAGGCTAACAATATGCATCATGCTTTGGCTTTTTTTTGTGTGTTTTTAAATTTTTTTTTTTTAAGGTTTTAGCCTTTTAAATTTCGTTACCCTTAAATATTACATACATACACAAAAAATTACATAGCTGCAGTGTGCTCACCACCAACCTCATCACCCAGGAGCTTCACATTATCAAAAGCTTTAGAAAATGTGTAAACCTCCGTGCACGCTTTGTTTGGGACAGCCAGCGGCGGGGAGCGAGCGGTGCCAGCTGGGGAGCAGCGTCCCCTTCCAGAGGGCCAACAGGCACCCCCTCGGCAGGAAGCCCCAGGAACCTCTGCAAAAGCTCTGGGTGACGATCAGAAGAAACAAAGAGACTCCCTGGGCGAGGACGAGAGCTCAGCCAGCAGCCTGCCCTCCTCCCTCCCAGGAGCCGAGAGCTGCAGAGCGAAGAGGGGGCGAAGCAGGGACCCCCCGAGCTCCCCCGTCCCTCGCGGGGCCGAGGACGGCCGCAGACCGGCGCAGGGACAGGAGAAGTCGGCATCTGCAGGGCACC